CAGCAACTGAGTCTAACGTGCACCGTGGGTGGTGCTATTTGACATTTGACCAACATCATTATGTCACACATATTTGTGGACCTCAAACTGCTGAAAAGAAAATTATATTAAATTAAATTAGATTTACAGTAAAGTTGCTAAAGTTGAAGACCCCTATGTGCATGTTTTTTTCTTCTTTTTTGGCTTTGGGGAAGTGTAAAAAGACTGAAGTGCGCCGTGGGTTGCCCCAGATCTTTTAACCTTTTGGCCGTCCAAGTTGTAAATTAGCTTTTTATGGCCTTTTTTTATTCAGAGTCCCATACTGAGATTGTCTGGATCTACCACTCTTGTGGGGTCCTCTAAAGATTTAACCCATCTCACATTCTTAGGTTTGTTTCTACCAATTGACACATACTCAGGACTGATCTGATGTTAGATATGCATCCATCTAATCATTGATCTGTTGATGGATGGGGTCCCACCCCATTTTCTTCCTTCTCGATACCTACCTCCATGGCTCCATGCATTTTAGAATCTCCTTGCTGTGACAGTTTTCATTTTTTTTCGTTTCACCTTCACTTTTTTCTCAGAATTGCTTTAGTTTTTTTCTTACCCTTTTGAAAGCTTTCAAAGAATCATACGTCTTCTTTCGACCATGTGTTTAACATGTAACTTGTTTTTTTTTTTTTTTTTTTTTTTTTTTTTTTTTTTAATGCAGTGGAGACCCAACTATGTATGAAAGTTACTGGCAGCAAATGGGGGAAAAGACCACAGTTGTGATCCCTGGATGGCAGTCAATGAGCTATTTCTCAGATGTGAAAAACCCTTGCTGGTTTTTGGAGCCAGAGTTTGCCAAGCAGGTTGTGAGGCTGCACAATCTGGTGGGCAATGCTGTCACAGAAGGTCGTCAAATTGTGGTTGGCACAGGCTCATCTCAGCTCTTCTTAGCTGCCCTCTATGCTCTGGCTCCAAAAGATGCGTCTGAGCCCATAAGTGTGATTTCTGCAGCCCCATTCTACTCCGTGAGTAAAAATTTGTGTTTGATTCTGTTTGAAAGTTTGATTTGTTTATTTGTTGAAGAATGTCACTAATGTACTTGTTACTTTCCGGCAAATCCTAGCAAAGTCAAATGCATCACTGTTTTTATTATTATTATAATTAACTTTTTTTAATGTGATCACTTTGCATGGTGGACTTGCTTTTTGTTAATGGCGCCCACTTCAATTAAAAAATTTGCTTTCCATAAGTAAGATATTTGTGCGAAACAGTATCCTTTTCCCCCAGAAGAACAAGGGTAAAATCATTTAATAATATGTCATTTAATTCGCCTGCCTTGACTCTGAAACTTGATGTTGGAATCTCAATTATTTTTTTCTCCTTAATTTTCACTTCCTCTTTTGCCCCCCTCCCTGTTCATGCATGTGCCCTAATTGGACCAGAAAAATTTATATGGGACGGGAATATGATTGCTTTTCTATTCCGATCAATTATGGAATGTTGTCCGAAAAAGTTATCTCGCGTGACATAACAGATGAAATATGTAAAAAATGCATTGAATTTTTATTTGCTGCTAGCTTTGTAAACTTTTCTGAGACACATTGATTAACAGTGGGTTTTTGTTTTGATGATCTCTCTGCAGTCTTACCCCTCTATGACTGACTACCTCAAGTCGGGCTTGTACAAATGGGCAGGGGATGCCCGGAGCTTCGACAAAGAGGGGCCGTACATAGAGCTAGTGACCTCCCCCAACAACCCTGATGGATTTGTCAGGCACTCCATGGTCAACCGAAGTGGAGGTATATTGGTTCATGACTTGGCCTACTACTGGCCACAATATACCCCCATTTCGTCGGCAGCTGACCATGATCTGACTCTGTTCACCGTCTCGAAAGCCACCGGGCATGCCGGGACACGCATTGGGTAAGCTCTCCGAGCTTTGATAATTTCTTTTACATGTTCTGGTCTTTTGTTTTGAGCACTCATTTGATACTTTCTCCTTCCGTGTTGCAGCTGGGCTCTTGTCAAAGATCCAGAAGTTGCCAAAAAGATGATCAAGTTCATAGAGCTCAGCACCATAGGCGTGTCCCGGGATTCGCAGCTCCGAGCAGCTAGGATTTTGGAGGTGATCATCAACTCCTCCCAAAACCCTGGCAGGCCGGAGTCCGGTGAATCTTTCTTTAAGATCAGCCATCACCTCATGGCAGAGAGGTGGCAGCTTCTTAGAGAGGCGGTGAACAGGGGCAGATTTTTTAGTCTGCCTGACTTCCAGCAAGGGTTCTGCCAGTTCCTCAACCAGGTCTCGCAGCCTCAACCTGGTAAGCAAAAATTCACCGAACCATTAATTAAGAGTTGCCATTTATATAACTATCTATGTAACGCATATGAAGCAGTTGAAATTGACATTGCTGTTTACCTCTGTTGCAGCTTTCGCATGGCTCAAATGTGAAGACGAAAGCGTGGAAGATTGCGAAAGCTTACTGAGAGATCATAAGATTTTAACCCGAGGAGGAAGGAGCTTTGGAGTTGGTCCAAAGTACATCCGCGTGAGCATGTTGGATCGGGACCATAACTTCAACTTGTTTTTGAAGCGACTGGCTTCGATCCAGACATGACACAGCGGATCGATCCTTCCTTCTCGGGTAAAATCTTAGGGCCTGAGCTGGCTGTGGACCTGCAGCTGAGGAAGGAGAGGGAGTGTCATGTTAGTGGTTCATATGTAGGAGTAGTAATGGAAAGTAGTGTAGTTTGTATTCATCTTCTTTATATGATACAAATTTTTCAATGAAATTTACGAGACTCCAAATCCAACCATCCCACTTTCTTTCTCACTGCACAATGAAAACTCACGAGGATGTGCTTATTTCTCTAGCAAACTAAAGAGACCAACTTGCATTTTAGGAATAAAAAAACAGCAAAGAAGAAAATAAAGGTTCACCTTGCGTCCAATGGAGGAGGTCACAGCTCCTTACATGCTCTGCAATGGCAGAGCATTCCCCTTGCCCCGATTTCTCCCATGCCACACATTTCTACAACCGAATAAGTTCCTTCGGCCGACTCTCCCAAGTTTTCCTTTCTCTTTTTGTTTTCCCCTCCCTCTCTTTCCCCTCATCTTCCTCCCACTAAAACCCCAGAACTGACTCTCAAGTGCTGAAGCGGTAACCATGCCCAGAGGAAGAAATATGATCAGTATACGAGTTACTTCATGTATTTGAACATGAGGCTAGAGAGGTATTTATGGAAAACTTGGCCCATAGAAACAATGGTGGAATCAAAGTTTGTTCAACTAAAGACAAATCCTTCCCTGGTTTTTATGTGAAATTGCGGAAATTGTTGATATATAGACAAATTCGATGGTCAGTTATATCTGAATCACGGAGATGGCATAATAAATTTAGAAAAATTGAAAGCTAATCGAAACGGCTTTGCAACGTGTATTTCTTTTCATGACATTTCATGTGACCGAATATTTCAACCTAATTTAAATATAAAAATGATAAATATAAAATTATGGTGAAATTAAAGTTGAGGAATACAACCGATGAGAATATTAAAATTTGTTGAACTAAAGAAGAATCATTCCGTAATTTTATGTAAATGTATCAAGAAAATGCATATATTAATTATTATTAAAAATAAAATAAAAAAGATAATTGAACGGTATATGACACAGGTCTTATGATTTCATGGAATTTTATCCCAGATTCAAACTTATAAATATATTTTTGAAAACAAAAAACAATAGTAAGAAACTTCGAGGGTAAAGTTTGATCATAAATAAAACGTATAACATGGTTAAAGTGTAGCCAAGAAACCGATGAGAAGTTAAAATTGGGCACCAAAATTGATGGTTGAATCAAAAGTTTGTTCAACTACAGACAAATGGTTCAATGGTTTTTATGTGGAGTTGTAGAAACCACATATGTATAGATAATTCGTTCATCGGTTACACATGAAATTATGGAAAGTAAACGTTACATAAATTGAAAGCTAATCGAAACATGAAACGTGTATTTCTTTTCATGCAATGCGACTGAATATTCTAGATAATTTAAGAAATGGATAAATAGATAATAATAATTAAATTAAAGCTGAGCGATAAAACCAATAAGGAGACTGAAATTTGTTAACGAAGGAAATATCCTTTCCTAATTTTATGAAAATATACCAAGAAAATGCATGTATTAATTACAAATTTGAAAGATAATTGAACGGTATATGACACAATTGTTATGGTTTTACGGAATTTATGCCACTAAAACTTATAAATAATTTTTTTTAAAGGAAAAACAATAGTAAGAAACTTGGATGATAAAGTTATATCATAAAACGTGTATAACATAGTTAAAGTTTGACGAAGATGAGAAGTTAAAGTAGAGCGACAAATTTGAAGGTCAAATCAAAGTTTGTTCAACTACAGACAAATCGTTCACCAGTCTTCATTTGAAATTGCAGAAATCACATATGTATAGACAATTCGTTTATAAGTTACACTTGAGATTACGGATATCACAAAGTAAAAGTTAATTCATAGAAATTAGCTAATCGTAACAGCTTATGAAACGTATGTGACTTCGCGGGACTTAATCTAGATAATTTCAAAGAGTGATAAATAGACTAGCAACTTGTTAAAGATCCAAAAGTAGATTAGCAAAAGAAAAACCGGACTTGTTTATATACCATTTTAGTCATAAAACTCATGTAGAAAAACGGCATTTCACTTGTCTCACGTTATATCTACAATGAAGTAAGTCTTTTAAATTGAAAACGGAAAAAAAGAAGAAGTTATAATTCAACCAAAGTAAGTAAATATACACGAAATAAAATAATTCCTAATTGGATTAAAACTTTCCTTAAGTTTATAAATCCAGCGAAGCTCAATTGAATTGAATCCCCCAATCATCCACGTCATACTATAAGAAGCCCACAAACCGTCATCAAGCCCAAATCATTCTCGAGCCCAATATAATATATGCACATCTATTTTGTTTTAGTTTTATTTTTTTTTAATTTTTATGTGAAAAAATAGAACCGGGTTTAGACAATCCCGAATTTGATTTGCGTCAATCCAAAACCCTAGGGTTTTCAATCGTCTCTTCTTCAGTGTCCAAAAACCCCCAAGCCTTAGGCGCGGAGGACTGCGGAGCCCATCACAATGTCGATGTCGAAGAGCTCCAAGATGCTGCAATTCATAAACTACCGAATGCGAGTGACGATCCAAGACGGTCGGCAGCTCGTCGGCAAGTTCATGGCCTTCGATCGCCACATGAACCTCGTCCTCGGCGACTGCGAGGAGTTTCGCAAGCTCCCGCCATTGAAGGGCAAGAAGAGCAACGAGGAACGCGACGACCGTCGAACCCTAGGCCTCGTCCTCCTCCGCGGCGAAGAGGTGATCTCCATGACCGTCGAGGGCCCGCCTCCTCAGGAAGAGTCACGTGCCAAGGCTGCCAGCGCCGCCGCTTTGGCTGGCCCCGGTTTGGGCCGGGCCGCCGGTCGAGGTATCCCCACTGCTCCATTGGCCCAGGCACAGCCCGGACTCTCCGGTCCGGTTCGCGGCGTGGGTGGGCCCGCCCCTGGCATGATGCAGCCGCAGATTTCACGCCCTCCTGTCCCGAACCTCTCTGCGCCGCCTATCACCGCCTGGTGTGCCGCCTCCGCAGTTTCCGAGGCCTGGTGGCCCACCTCCGCAATTCCAGGGCCCACCTCAGATGCAGTTTGGGCAGAGGCCGATGGGTCCTCCGCCGCCTGGGCAGATGATGAGGGGCCCACCTCCTCCGCCTCGACCCGGCATGCCTGGTCCACCACCGCATCGTCCTGGGATGCCGCCTCCACCTGGTGGTCAAGTTCCTGTGTTTGGACCCCCTCGTCCTGGAATGCCACCTCCACCCAACCCTCAGAACCAGCAACAAAATCAGCAGCAGCAGTGATTGGTATGTTTTTCTTTACCTTATTTGTTTGAGTAAATTCTGAATGCTTTGCCTTGTCATATGTTTGCGGCAATGGTGCTTATAATTCAATGGTGTTTTGCCATTTCTCTTATTGAAATGGAATCTGTATATCCTTGGTTTTGTTGGAGATCTCTTCCTCTACAACCCCAATCATTAAAACTTAAAATTTGAAACCAAAAGCTCATTGTAGATATGCAGGAAGGTATCTTGTGCATCCAAACTTCCTTCTTTACCATGTTTCTGACATTTTTGAGTGAAACTGGTAGATTTTACTGTTTTTCAATGTTCAGAGAGTTGACACAGATGGCGCTTTTGGCAAGAACTATATCATAAAGGGGTTGACAAGTTAACAATATCTGAACTTCAATTTGTTTGGTTTACTGAAAAAATTATCCTATCTGAGTTCAGTGTTAGACGAGCAGTTCTATATTTAGTTTAAGGCTGGTTGATAAGTGATGTTTCTGAGGTTTTTGATTGAAATATTTGGACTAACTTTTTCGGTAGGACTAATCATATTTGGGGTATGCCTTTTAGTCTTCCGTGTGTCACAAGCTTCCCATAGGCAACCTTATGAATTCTTTCTATGATGAAACTGTACAATTCCAAAATGATGTAATTATTGAATTGCAGTTGTATCAGTCATTCAAACACAACAATTTTGGGATTCACTTAATTAGTCATTTAATCTTTGGGTTCTTGGAAAATTCTTGTCATTTAATTAGTCATTTGCCTGTTTAGCTCTACAGTTTTGCTTGATTTTATTTCTCAATCCAGTTGGAAAAATTGATTGACATATGCTTGTATTACCATCGACCGTGTTGTAAGATATCTCGCTGTTTCTAGTATCCACTTTAAAGAATTTAAGAAGTCATCACTTCCATTCACCAAATTACACCTTTTCTTGTCGCATTTTGATTGGTCATTCTCTTCTTCCTTGGAAGCTAACCTAATATTTTTCTTTCTTGTTTTGAGCAGGCATGTTACAGGGTGTGTTCTAAATGTTTTCTGAGGGCTGGTGGCTTGCATCGAGTATCAGTTTTCTGAACAGGTTTGAGCCTGTGCGATATTTCCTCTTGTACCTTGGGAGTTCTGTAGCTGTTACTGTTATGATGTGCTAAAGCATTGACCTGGATATTTGTACAATCTGACTATTACAATTCTATCAATTCGGTTTTGTCAATTACAAATTTACTATTGAAAATTGAAACGCAGACTCTCTCTCTCTCTCCCTCACAACTTAAAACTTGGCTCATAAACTACGATGTATGCTTCTGCGACGGTGAAATTTCAGCAAATGCATGTCAAACAGTACTAGTCATACAAAGATGCATACAGCTTCACACGAAAGCAAATAAAAGATTTTCATTTATAATTAGAAAAGTGTTTATCATGTATAATTCAAGCATGACAACAATAAAGTACTGAGCCATACACTTGGTATTCACCATTACCTATAACCTACCTTCACAAACCAAGTTTGGGTTTGGGTCTGAAATAAAATACGCTGCTGTTGATCATAACCAAAAAGAAAAAGTATAACACACACAAAATTGATTGAATAAACTTGTATGGCAGCCATTGCAAAAGATCACCGGAGACAGTTTACTCGTAATGGCAGCAGTATAGAAAGAAAATTCCCCGAGCATGTATTCTATTTACTTGATTGAAAGCTGCAAGACATGTGAGTTGCCTTTACATTAGTCTCAGTTCATATTCCCCCGCCATTGTTATGTATCTCACCCATGGAAGAGCCTGGTATCCACTTTTCTCAATGATTTTTAGGTATCGGACCTACAAAATCCAAATACCAGATAGCCAGATTAGTTTGAAGTTGAACCAATCACAGCATCAGCCCAATTGAGAAAATAATGATGCATGTAGCGTACCTGAATCCCTGAGACGGTGAAATACGGGATTTCAAACTTCACACGAATAGGAGCTTTTCTTTCAGGAACTGCTTCTTCAGAAGTTATACTAGGAAGCCTAAACTCAGCCCTCAACATGTACTCCTGTGCAATTTCATACAAGGTCAAAAATATCTTTGCGAGGTCTTTGCAATTGATAATATACTTAATGGCAAGAGAAAGCTTCCTACCTTATTACCAGGAAAAGATTTAATTTTCCAGACTAAAGCATCACTCTCTGGAGCATATGCAGCAGATCCCATTGATGTCCGGACATTAGGATTTGTAGCATCGGCAGGCACAGGCAAATGAATTTCGACATTTGTAGCCGTGCTGTACCAAGTAACCGGAGCTTACAGTAAGAAATTCTGATAATGGAAATTGAGTGAAAAGTTGTAAACTGTTGCAGTAAGCAACTGTTGCAAGCTATAGAAATCATTCAACTGACTTTTTACAATACAGAACATGTATCACTGCTATTACCTGCGCTCCTTATACTGGCTCCTTGCTTTTACTGTGATTTCAATACGACTTCTAGAATGCTTTTCAACTTGTGCTTCCACCCAGATAAGAGGCTTTACCTGAAACCATTGAGAAGACAAATTTAAATGCGAATCAAGGTTGGAGCTCACTTATGCTTCCATTGGTTACCAAAGAATAAACAAAACAAGAATATATAAACACGGGTGACATAAGTAACTATTTAGAGTGCATAAAACAAAATGAACCTGAGTACTGAGTCTGTATGTCATCAGATCAAATGCTCCATCAGGGGGTATGAAGGATATAGTTCGGTCATTCTCGAATCGAGCCAAACGTACACACCTACAGGGTGGGGAAAAATTAAAGTAAATCAAAAGGGTTATTAGCATATGAAGCAGCATAGATTTGAATTAGCTATATAAGGCAACATACTGATGGAACTTGATATCATCCAGATCGATGGCTTTCCCTTTCGTTGTTCGACCTTGCGCCTCCAGCAGCACTCGATCATTCAGTCCAAGTTTACACTCAGGCATACCACTACAACAAATGAAGCAAGTTTACCAGGCCAGTGTCTAACATGAAGTTACTTATATCAATAAAAGAGTAAACTTCAAACCATCCAAGGATGAAATCCAATTATATTTACAAATTTTAGGATACTCTTAATTTATATTCATTTTCCAAGCTCAAGTTAACATCACTAAAGCCTTATAATCAGGTGGGATGTTGGTTGATCAGTGTCACTGTCAGGTGACTAACTCAGAGATGAACGTGCTAATAATCATGCCGGAGTTGAATTTTCAAAATCCTAATCATTAACCATAGGGTTGGCCAAACAAATTTTAATTTGGCATGTAGTTTGCCTTCGTAGCAAATGCAGTTGCTACTTTCTAGATTTTTTTGCCATAATACTGAACTGAAGAAGAAGTTATGCACCTCAAATACGTTCTCATCTTTAGGGCCCCCACAACATCTGACCGTATTATTTGTCCATTGCTGTTGACAAGTATATTGACACTTTCCACCACATCCAGAAAGACCTGATATAAAATGAACAGAGTCAATGATGGTTCACACGTAATTTAATTCATCCAAGATTAAACATGAAGAGAGGATCAACCTACTTCATTCTTCTTGTATCGTATCCCTTCGCTGCGCCAAGACACTGCATTTGTGACAGCCATGGGAGGACGCTGTGTCACCTCCATCCTGTAGGCATCAGTCTTGATGAACTCACTGAGAATCTTTGCTTCAGTGAATTGCGGAAAACCAAAGTCCATAATTTCATCAAGTAACTCGTACTGCCGAAATCACAAAGCATTGTCAGTACAACCCCATCAAAACTTGGTTTCTAGTTCTATCTACAAAAGACCTTACAAGTCAATTACCACTACGACAAAGTTGTCCCTTAGTGATTCCTCTTCTAGCTCTTCAAAATAGTGCTTAAATACCTGAACACATAAACAAAACGCATTGAAATGTATGAAAACCTCACATGGGTAACAACGGATGGTGAATGGCAATGCCATTATGCCATTTAAGACAAATACAAGTGAAAAAATTGGCCAGAGTTGAAGAGTTCGTACATCAATTACACGATGCAGAAAGAGCAGCAAGCTAGCAGCATTGCAGTTCTGCCTCGAGGCAATCATCAAGTAGACATTGTTGTGCTGTATGAACATGTAGCTGACTCCATTGTCGTAAACCACTGGATCTTGGGAGTAAGGATCGACCTGAAGAAGAATATCAAAATTCCCACAAATGCAAAGCTTAAATTTTACCCAGAAATTTCCAAACTTGATCGTTCTAATTGAGAAATTGATGCAAGCTTCATGGTGATCAAAGCTGAATATATATATTATCACATACTTTACGGTCTTCCTGTTGAGGCTGGCAAGCAAAAATGAGAAAGAAAGATTACCTCTTTTTCAATGAACTTGGTGAAGAAGCGCTCGGCCTGAGCAGCAGAGACATCGCCACGGTAGTCGCGCCAAATCAACACTCGCCCTTTGATGTCTAACAAAAAGAGCGCCGAGGCGGCGCCGGCCATTGGGATTGAAGATCGATAGTTTTGGATCCGACCCAGCAGTCACCTCCCCACAAAGATCAAACCTTTTTCTCGCTCTGCTTTTGAATTCTATGTCATACTTTTATATCTTAAAACCATACGAAATGGGCAAAAATGTTCAGGCAAATTTGAGCTGTTTTTGATGAATGGGAGGTGAAATTGCTTTAGTCCTGGTGGAGGCAAGTGTCGCCAAATAATGGGTTGCTAAACTTGCCCAGTAAATATTTTAGATTTCAGTCTTGTTAAACGACCACGTTTAGAGCCCAATAAAACTTGGGTTGGTTTCTCTTGCCCAATTTGGCATTTTATGAGCTCCTTTAGTGGGCTTATATAGAACTTGTGAAATTCTGCGTATTTTTTGTTTTTTGGCCTTTTATTTTTATGTTTATAAGAAGAAGTAACACCATCATAAAATAAATAAATAAACCATGACAACTACAATATACAAAAACTCTGTGATGTGAAAAAAAACCTAGGGTTTCTTTTATAAAAGGTTGTGCTATAATATGTCTTCTTTTTAAAATTATAACTATAGTGGTTTGGAGTAATTGCTTTCCTAAGTAAGGTTTTAGGTTCGAGTCCTAGCATCCGTATTGTGTGTGCGAGTTTAGTATATTATCACTCCTTTCAATAGATGTTAGCATTTGAGTGGGTGGCAATAACACACCACTCTAACAAAAATTCTTTGTGCTTGTTGGCGCATATACATTTCTCGTTTTTGGACCAAAAAAATATGATAATTGCATACATCAGTACAAAGATACTGGGGATGTTGAACATAAGGGATTTTCACACATCTTGTTTGTTCAATTTTTTTTCTTCTTTTTTATCTTCCACTCATAATTAACCCACTGAAGACTTGGCTCTTCCCTCCAAGTGATGATTCCCATTCTATTGAGCACACCAATATTTGGGAGAGCGTTTGGACAATGTCTCTCATCTCTGGCCTATCTACTGGATCTTCACTCACACACCGCCTTGCTATTTCTGCCATCTGCCAAGTGCTTCAAATAATTATTAACCACATATCATAATAATAATAATATACATAATGCTATGCCAAAACTAAAATTTGAGTTGAACAAACCTTGTACACTTCTTCGATAGGGTAGCTTCCTTTCATGTTACCATCTACTCTAGCTTCCAATGCAGCTTCTGGATCTTTTTCTTGGAACACCGCGCATAGCTGCATAACAATTCAGAGAGAAAATGTTGCTAACTTTAGTCACTTGCAAGTTGCAACATAGGTTTGTTATTTAATTGAGAATTGGACTTACAACTGAACTGAGTGACTTCATTCTTTTTGGTTCTCTGTTTTCACGAACAATCGCACGCTGACCCGTTATTAGCTCTGCTACCACCACTCCGAATGCATAAACATCAGTTTTCGATGTCATTTGTAGCTCACGAACAGATCTTGCAGAAGAAAGCAAAGAGTAGTGGATTATGGTAAGTTCATAAGCTTAATCAAAACTAATCCAACTTTTATGTTGTTTGACAAGTACTCAAGAAAACTAATAATGCAATGCATAATGTTTTACTTACTCTGGAGGAATGTAACCAGGTGTTCCAACCACTCGTGTCGCTACCATATCTTCTTCCCTTGACCGTTCTACTAACCTTGCTAGGCCAAAATCTGCAACCTGTGTGTGTAAACAGCAATCTCCTAAGAAATATGAATGGTTTATTTGATTGACCACAGAAAAAATGCAAAATACGCATTGCAATTGTGAAAGTGTACCTTTGCTCTGAGTCCTTGATCAAGTAGAATGTTACTGGTTTTTATATCCCGGTGCACATAGCGCGCCTTCGTGTGGTCATGAATGTATTCAATTCCTCTTGCTGTATCCAGTGCTATTTGTGCTCTTGCTGTCCATGAAAGAGGTTGGTTTCCTGCAGGTAACCACTAGTGTTTGAGAACCTAAAAGAAAAACAAACAAACCCAATTGTCTAAATGTTCAAAATAAAGAGGGATGTGGCATCCATGGTATGAGGAGGTACGTACCTTTCAGCAATGGGTCATGAAGATGGTCATTGAGGGAGCCATTATGTAGAAACTCATAAACCAAACATAGATGGTCACTTCCACTAGCATATCCCAGCAGCTCCACCTGAGAAGAAGAGTTGGTCACATACTTTCTCTTTTTATAAGATTTGGTCATTGAGAGTGATCCATTCTTGTAAACTTTTTTCTTCTTACCACATTGTTGTGATGTATCTTGCATAAAACCTTGAGCTCAGCAAAGAACTCCTTTGTTCTGCTAGATCTCATCTTCTTAATTGCAACTTCCTGCTTTTCAAAGAAGGCATCCATGGTTCTAGATTAAATTAAATATAAACATTTTTGGTTATTTTATTGACTTAAAAAAAATGAAAGGATGGTTTTGCGTATGATACCAGTTCTCCTAATATTCCCAAGTAAACGCTGCCATATCCACCCTCCCCAATCTTCCTGGTTTCATCAAAGTTACTTGTAGCCATCTCAATTTGCTCCATGCTATATATAACTGGTCTTTCATTCTCAAAAGTTTCTGCATCAAGCAGATTTGCATCACATTTCTGAGACGGTAAGGATTTCTAGAAACTGATATAAGTGAGCGCATTGAAATGGTTTAACATCAAAGTTGAGATTTTATCTGACCTTCCATTTGCCTTTTGAAGAACTGTTGCTTCAGTGAGAAACCTTTCTTGGCACTTGGGTTTACAACAGATTTTTGATCTTCTTCTCTGTTCTTTCCTTTTCTGTATCTGATGAGAAGGAATATTATGAATGTGGCCACAAATAGAAAACCAACAGCTGACACTATGGCCATAACTGTAGGCAAACTGAGTCTCTTTCCTGGTTTGAACAAGAAAATTTGGTTAGATTTGTACTGCTTCAACTTCAGAAAATTTGCATTAATGATTGGAATTGCAAATAGTACAATAAAATCACTACCTTGCCTTTTTGGTTGAAGTCCATTCAGCTCCATTGGCACAAACAAAACCCAACCAACATCTATAAAATTTGGGGTTTGAGTGAAGTTTATGTTCAGATTCTGAATTTCACTCTCATATGCAGATAGAAGTTGTTCAATTCCTATCAAAGTGTCATGGTCTTGAACAGTGTATGTCACAACCTCCCGTGAAGATTTCTCTACACACCCACAAACAAGGTGCATAGTTGTCATATTGCCAACACCAGCAAATGGCTCCTCCTCTGCTCCAACTATCATTGCCTGCCCACTGTAAAACTCACTAACAACATTCTCAAGGGTGTCTCCTTGTTTAACTAGGTAACTGGTGTCATAGAGGTAAGTTTTGGTGCCTTTGATGTCTTTGCAAGTGCAAGGCACAGATACAAGATAGTCTTGTTGGTGTTGGGTGCCATGAACTATAGGCTTGATGCTGGATGAATTGACAGAGTAAAAAGTGGCTATTTCCTCTATTTGATGGCCTTTTGAGATGTGATATAGGTAGGAATTGCAGCTCTGGATTTGATCAGAATCAGAGCAAGCAAAAGGGTACAGACGGTTTGAGCTTATACCAACACTGTCTGAGAGAACATGAGTGGAGGAGATAGTGGTGAAGAGAACCAAGAAGAGGAGATGATGTTTTTGGTTTAAACAAGCCATTTCCATGGTGAAATGATGATCATTTGGCATAGGAAATAAGATGGGCAAGAATGGCTTCTGCTTTTGGCATTATATGTTTGTCGGTTTTGCTTTTGAAAAAATTGAAAAACAGAAATCGTAGTGTTGTTGGATTTTTGTAATTGGGGCAAGAGAGGTCAAGATTATAATAACATTATGGATCCAAGTGTGTTGTTTGAGGATTGGCAATGTCTTATTGTCTGTTCGATATGTACATGTAGCTAAATTTTATTCACAAAAACATAAGAGAGAGATGAAATCTGCAAGTAGTTGAAGAGTGAGAAAGTCTGAACACATGAGACTAGTATAATCCGTTTTTAAAAACGGAAGGGTCATTATTCTTTGTGCTTTGTTTAATCCGTCTGAAAAGAACAAAACTGGCTGGTCCTTGATGGAGTTTCATTGGCGGATCATGTGCTGGCTCTCTTATGATTGTGGTCATCCATTCTCTTTCATTTTCTCTCCTTGTTTAGCCTCAAATTTCTTAATTTTGTGAGGGGTTGATGTCGAAACCTGATGATGAAGACTGAGGCTGCCTCTGTTCGTGTTGTGTTTCTTAACCTCAACTATGAGTTACAAGGTCTTTATCTAAAATTCCCCTTATGAATGTAATCTTAAGTGGGGGGGAAATTGAAGGAAGACCTCAAATGCATCTTTAAATGCTCTTAATCAGTTGAGCTACAAAATACTAAAATTTGTGTGAATTTTTGGAAATTGAAAGGAAAAATAAAAATAAAAAGAAACAAACACAGAACAAAAATAGCACAACATTTTATTACATCATATACAAACGTAGAACTACCATTGACCAAACAGTGACATCTCCTTTTTCTTTTGCTCAAAACGTTTACAAAGGTAACACAGAAGAAAGCTGAGAGAGAAACAAAGAGACCCAGAGAGAGAGAGAGAGATTACTAGCTACCAAGGCCTATATATAATATGTATCTATGAACCAGTTCATCTTCTTCATGGTTCAATAGTAACAGTAACACCTTCACGCCCCGGGCCTCCTTCTTTGGTCCTACCACCCTCTTGGTCCCTACCAGCATCCTGGGACTTATCTACATTTTGCCCCGTTTCTCTAGTCTTCTGGCCCACCTGACCTCCAGTCTCTTGCATCTTTTGGCCCAAATAGCCCGCCGTCTCCTGCACCTTTAGGCCCAAATACCCCGTAGTCTCCTGCACCTTCTGGCCCATTTTCTCCGGAAGCCGACTCCGACTCAGAAAACGGGCCAACCAAGAAAAAGACGAGAGGGCCGTGATCCCAAAAGCCCCCGAGGTTAAGATCCCGACCACGGACAGGCCTATGACCAAAGCTGCCGGGACCAAAATGGGGCTGAAGATAACAAAAAGCGGGGTGGAAACAGCGAGCCCAAGGATCGTCCCAGTGAGCGTGAGCCCAGAAAGGAAGAGCAGGGTGCTGCCGATTGGAACAAGAGTGAGCATTGCTACAATATGCGTGGCAGAGGGACCATTTTGTGGAAGAAAGCCTTTTGGTTGCTGTTGGTCGTCGTACTGGAAACCTTGGTGCTGCTGTTGTTGGTCGTACTGGTGCTGAGTCTGGAAGCCTTGGTGTTCTTGTGGGCGGGGGTGTTGCTCAGCCATTGATGAAGCGGTTAATAGGGTTTCTGGGTTTTGCTTGGGTTGGTTTGATCGGTGAGGTTGAGGATGTGTGTGTGTGAGAGAGAGAGAGAGAGAAAGAGAGAGAGAGAGAGAGAGTGAGGGGAAGAGGAGGGGGTGAGGGTTTAAAGAAGAGGGTGGAGGGGACACGTGGAGGGAAGGGGACACTTGTTGGATGCATGGAGAGTGAGGGTTTGCGTGAGTGTTCTAGTGTTATCATCAATTTTTTGTTGGGTTGTGTGTCTTATTTTGGATTTGTGAACTGGAGATGGATGGGGGTTGTTTGTTTGGTGCAAATGCAAATGGCAGTGTGCGTTTCAGAATTTGCGTGTTCCTGTTTTGTTTTTCTGCTTAATCGGTGTGAAAATATTGCAATGAATATCCAGTATGATAAACCAAAAAAAGAAAACAATGGTGAAGCCTAGTAACCAAGGTACAACGTTGTCATATTATATAACAGTTTTATTAATTTATTCAGTAAACAATTTCATAAAAAGAATGGTATGAAGGCTTCATCCCGTTTGCAAACTCGATCGAACCATTGTTATGAAAGAATTATTTGTGTTCATCATATAATCACCAGACCCGGGAGGCTCTCACCGACTCGGCTGGAGAAAAAACATGTATTATTTGGATCGCTTCCTTCCTAAAGCTTAGCCAGCCCATTATAGTACTGGATTGAGCCAATGTTTGGCAATATGCAAGCCCAACTTCAGCGGAAACCCAGACATACATGGATTGAGCCTATGTTTTGATTTTCCTTTCATGCACAGCTTTCGTTTTGATGGTGATAAAATGAACTATTATGTTCTCCAAACAATCACTCATTTTCTCAGTTGGGTATAGTTCAGTTGGTTGATCTATTTCATTTTCACCTATGTGAGCAGATGTTCGAAACCTCAAGATACCCAATGAATTTTTCTGTAAGTCCCTCTACCTTAATCGCTTGTACTAAAAAACGATCACTCCTTGTTACTTCAAATCAATGTATAGCTGAGCTGGTGTTGGTAAGGATATTGTGTGAACTACATTTGGAAAACTTGCAGCAAAGAGGTATCTTAAGATTCTTGACAATCTACACAAAATCTTTGCTTGAAGAAACAAACTGTTGACGATAAATTATAATAGGAAATAAATCTCAATTATAATAGGAGACTAGATAAATGGGTAAGTAAACAAAATTCTAATATAGTAAGGAACCCAAATCCTAATTAAGTAAGGACTTGCCAACACTTCCCCTCAAGTTGGGGCAAAGATATTTTACATGCCCAACTTAACAAGCAAGTCATATAACACCATACTCAACATTGACCAATCGAGCAACTATAGAGAGGACCTTGTCATAAACCACGAGTGAAACAACGGGCAAACCCTAACAAATAAGGCACATAGAAGAACACATAAAAGCAGAACACAGAAACTGTGTGAGCACGATAGTAGGTAAGGCAGAATATAGAAACCCTTGAGCATGATAGTAGGTAAGGCAGAACACAGAAACTTTGTGAGCACGGCAATAGGTAAAGCAGAAAACAGAAACTCTGTGAGCACGGCAGTAGGTAAGTATGAAACATATTCAACAAACTAGGTTACTTAGTGCGCACTATCCAACTTTTCATGGTAATATCATCAATTTTTCACTTTCTAAATTGTGGATATTTGGAATATGGGGCATCAGAGTCACGAGTTAAATAACCGAATTTTCCTTGTGAAGTAGCATAAAGTTCAATCATTGAAGCTTAAATTGCATAGTTGGAACCATTCAATTTGAAGCTCAAGAGTAGGTTGGTGGACGATTCAATATGAACCATCATAATAGGGGTAGGAGAAACAATAGATGAAGTAGAACAAGAAGCAGGTGAAGAAATAAATGCATCAACATTCGACATGGTAATGGATAGCGGGATGGCGGAATGGTGGAATGGCGACATCAGTGCCAATAGCAAGGTAGGCGACGACGACAATATGGTAGACGGCGGCAGCAGGCTAGGATTATAGGTTAGATGCATAGTGCATCGGAAATAGGTAATGTTTATGGGTAGGGTAAAGACGGATCAAAACACAACAACATCATCAACAATGACCATAATAATTGAAAGCAAAGCAAACAAAGGCAACATCAACGATGGCCTCAGTGGCCACGGCACCGGCAATGACCATAGAAACGGTAGCTGAAAAAGATGAAAAATTCTTCCATATCAACTTTAGCTAATTCACGTAGACATAACGTCTCTTCAATCCTCTTCTCCCCATGAAGAGAAGAGGTTCTCGGCATAGTGAAGAAAGAGGTAATATCTCCATTGGAAAGAGAAACATATTTTTTTACTCCCTCCCCCCCCCCTCCCCTTCCTTTTTTGAAGAGAATGGGAGGAGAACACTTAAATTGCAAGGAGAATGCAAACACATGTCATAAGATAACTAGGCTCTGATACCATGTCAAACAAAGTAAGGCAAATATTCAGATATGTTCACCTATGCTCATATATGCTTATATTTATTGTTCTACAATATGGAGGTATTTATAAAAAAGTACAACCTTAAATAAAATATGAAATAAATCCAAATTACAATAGAAAATAAATATAAATTACAATAGGAAATAAATCTAAATTATAATAGGACTAGATAAATGGGTAAGTAACCAAAATCCTAACACAGTAAGAGCATCTCCAGCAGAGTTGTTATACTCTTAGCCATTTTGGCTAGAATGAGGCAAAACGCAACTCCAGCAGATTTGCTATCTGACTCTCTATTTTGGAGAACTCCTTATTTAAGTTTGGTGGCTCTCTATATTTGAAGAGGAAGAGAGAGAAATTGAGGGTTCTCCATTTCTTCCTCTTCTCTCTCTCTAGGCACACAACCTTTTCTTGTAACATCCCACATCGACCAATGGAGAGGGGGTGATGTGCCTTATATGTACATGCCCGCCTCCATCTAGCACAAGACCTTTTGGGAGCTCACTGTCTTCGGAGTCATGGGAACTCCAAAGTTAAGCGAGTTGGGGCTAGAACAATTCTAGGATGGGTGACTCACTGGGAAGTTACTCATGAGCTCCCAGAAACAAAACCGTGAGGGCAGATAGGGGGGCCCAAAGCGGACAATATCGTGCTACGGCGGAGTCGATCCTGGAATGTGACAATTTGGTATCAGAGCCACTCTGCCGTGTGGTGCTAGTGTGCCGATGAGGACGTCAGGCCCCTAAGAGGGGTGGATTGTAACATCCCACATGTGCCTTATATATACATGTCCGTCTCCATCTAGCACGAGGCCTTTTAGGAGCTCACTAGCTTCGGAGTCATGGGAACTCTAAAGTTAAGCGAGTTGGGGCTAGAGCAATTTCAGGATGGGTGACCAACTGGGAAGTTGCTCGTGAGCTCCCAGAAACAAAACCATGAGGGCAAAGAGGGGGGCCCAAAACGAACAATATCGTGCTACGACGGAGCCGATCCTGAGATGTGACATTTCTCATCTCTTACTTTTTGATTTTTTTACTAAACTTTTAATTTAGAGAGGATTAGAGAGAAATAATAAAATATTAGAGATTAGCCAAAGTAGAAAACATTGCTGGAGGAAACTACTTTCAGTAGTTTGCTATAATAGCTTTCTAGTCATTTTAATTCAAATTTGGCTAAAATTTGGGGACTCTTCTAAAGATACTCTAAAGAACCCAAATCCTAACTTATAAGTAAGGATTCGCCAACACAAACCACTAGAGTGAAAGTTGAACATTATATTTGTCGTCATGCTTTAACCCATTGAAATTTGAAGCTATAAATTCTCTCTGCATTGAATATTATTAGAACCGTGCAACTTGATAGGCTCACCTCATTTCCCTCAAGTCAAAATTTGGGCCATATATATATTCGAAAGCCACACTTTGTGCACATATGGTTTAGAGATTGTATTCCTAATTCCCCCTCAAATAATAATATTTGAAAGGGGTCACCACTACACAATATGTTATACTTTGTAAAAACGAAATATACTTATTCTTCAGAAAGTTTATATCGGCTAGGATTCTTGTGTAATATATATCTTAGTATAAGATATACAATTTGACTTGACAAATGATTGCCTAAAGGCAGAATGTAATTCTTTAACCCATAATCTTTTGTTTGTTTATAATCGCTGTAATGGCCACCATCATGGCTACCATCATTGGTAATCTGAAACAAGAACCACTTTTCATCATATAATATAAATATATCAGGGCCAAGCATTGTAGGGAATAATATAAAGATGTCGATCTAATTTATATACATATACGTTATTCAGTGGTTGTTAGCCACATACCACACCTTTTCTAGAACTTGTGCATGTGGCGTCAAGTGATGACATATATATATATATATATATTCGCTTATTCGGATATCGGATGCTATTGTAAATAGAGAAAAAAGTATGAAGAGATAGTATAAAATACATGACGTCCACAGGATAATAACGTCCGAATGTCTGCATAGGAGAAAGTTAGCAACTTACTTTGATACTACTAATTATACATAGCCAATCTTAAAATTTGTGTTTCGTTAGATTCAGATCATGATGCACTAGCGGCGCTAAATCTGCTGGATGCATTATCATTGCCAATCAATTAGTGATATATATTCCATGTTCTTTGGATCTGACGTTTTCTCTTTCTCTAATTTTTATTTTGGGTCTCTTTTTGTAGTTTAAAACCATTTGATGCAGCCCCCGTTAGATATGTTGCGTTATCTTCAAAAGCAAAATTGGATATGGTTCTGACAGAAGCATTCAATAATTGCATCAGTGGAGAATTTAGAGAAAGCGATTCAACCAAGTTTGAATGTTGCTCATAAAAGTTTGCATAGTTAGGTAAGACCATACAATTTAATTTATTGTTTGGGGTCGAATGCTTTACTGAAAAGGGGACGAAAGGGAAGGAATGCAAATACAGTGGCATTGGGAAACAAAGAGAGATTTGTTTTCAGCTTCCACCATTTTCATAGACAGCCAGGTACACTGTTCTAGCCCAGATGATTGAGTGTTTATGAACTCCATGGGCCACTCTTTTTAAATGTCCAAAACTATTCAACATCAAGTTTTTATAACGACTGCAATAGGGTACGTTGCACAAGTTGTAGCTGGAGTTGCTTTTGGGTGGTAATTTATACTGCTTACTTCCTTCCTGTAAATAACGGTTCGACATTGTGCCGAGAAATAGAAGATAGAAGAATGAAAACTTACCATTTTTCTGTAGAGGTCCGATACTTTTGGTACAGAATGTACAAGTTCAATTAATTCTCAGCAAATCAAATGTTTAATAATAAGAATTAATAGTTCATATATATTGATCAGAAGGTAATAACATTTTGTTTTGGAAACCTAGAAATAGATATTGTCGACAAACATTCAAGAAAGACGACCTTGGGTAAAAAAAACTTGCAACTTGCTAAAAGATATATATATATATATATATATATGTACATATATATATATATATATAGCACTGTACTTTGGTAAGCCCCATGAACGAATTTAAGGTGGGAACATAAAGACTTTGAGGTGGGGGCAGAAAATAGGAGCCCCACGTCATGTTGTCTTTCTTGTCCCTTGAAATAGTAATAAACCTCTCCTGCCATATTTCACCAGCTCCAATTGCTTCTTTTCCACGTCTTTGCAGAGAAGAAGATTGATGGGTTGATGGATTCTGAATGAATAATTATTGCAAACCAAAACACAAAAAAAAACAAGAAAAACAACGACTGCAGAAAGCCATACTTGTTCCCCACCACAGCAGAGGCCCCCCTCAATCCACAGTTGACACAGTATCATACTTTTCCCCACACATATATATTTAACATTTGGAAGAGTATTTAAAAGGATAAAGATTGATTGACATTGAACATATCAATATTGCTAGAACCTAGTATGTATTTGATTTAAGAGAGATTGTAATATTATGATAGTACGTTATAAGCGTTATAATATAAGTAGATTGATAACATTCATGTAGTGCCGTGTATGTTACAGTCACATATTAACATTTCTTATAACGTAGATTTATCTGATTTGGTATCTGCATTAAGTAAAGTTGAAAATATAAGTTTTTTTTGTTGTTGGGTGGAGTGGGGAAGACTATAAGATATGATGTGGAATTGAGATGAGAAGATTGGATTTGGTTTCTCCTATCTTTCCAAGGAAGAAAAAGGTGAGGCTTTAGGGAGTTTTGCGATCTCGAGGAGGGTTTGGCTGAGAGGAGAGGAGGCACTATAGTAATAATTGGAGGACAATGGACTTGACTCTCACTAGAACCACTGCCTGACCCAGATCCAGATACGATTCTTTCAGACTATGTACATGTGTGTGTGTGTGAATTGTGTGTATGAGAGAGAAATAGAAGACAGGTTTAACTTTTCTTGATTTGTATGAGTGTAATATCTTTCTGTGTGAGTGAGAGAAGAGAGAGAAGAGAGAGAGAAGAGAGAGAGAGAGGACTGACAAAAGTGAAGAGAGAAACAGGAAAGATGGTGTGCGTGTTTTTGAATGATGAAAGTTTGGTGCCGCTACAGATTACGAAAAAGAAGGAAAAAAACATATCAATGGAATGAATAGAATTAGACAGGGAAGTCGAAGAATATAAGGAAATTCAAATCAAAGTCACCTCTCTCCCTCAGGCACAATCTCACACAATGTTTCGTCTAATCTCAAACGCTTAATCTGCACAAGTTCAAGTCACCCCCTCTGACCTTGGAAGCATATTAATGAAACCCTAACCTTCGCTGGGTTTCATTACTTGTCTGGAATTAACCCGAATTACACAGTTTTATAGCGTAACCTGACCTGAGCATCATAAAAAGTATATATTTATATCCAAGGTTTCACTGTGTTGTCCGGTAAGTTTTGGGTACAGTACAAATACTTGGCTGTCGTTGGAGATGGAACAACTACAGTGCTTTATGCATCGGATCCAATGAGGAATGGACTGTAGATTGTACTGTTTCAGATATCTCTGCAACTATACTCCCACAAACATACATACATATATATATGAAATAATATTTATTAGGAGAAACAGATTCACGCAATCAAGTACATGATAAACACTAGAATTCAAATAAGTTAGAATATATATGCACTCACAAAAGGTTGAAACACACACTGTTTCTCCTTCTGCATACCTCTTTTTAATTTTTTTAATTTTTTATAATTTAAATTATAAAATTCAAGTGGGTTATTAATTTTTTTTGTTTTTCCAATATAAAGTAAAAAAGGCTAACTGATGTTTAAGAGAAGTTTCAAGCCAGCTTCGCCATCGATACCATTCACGAAACTTGTGATCAAAAGATGAATAGGACCATGATTAGCTAGCTAGGTTAACTTATTTTTATTTTATTTTATTAATTAATATTGCAAACCAGCGGCTATCAATGAGCTTCTGGAATTATTTAAATTGAATATATATATGTAAAGTGGTCCTCATCAAAACATGCAATTAAAGCAGCAGAAGTAAAGGGTGAGAATATATAGGGTGAAAAGAGGACTAAGCCCCTATATGTACTTAGCCACACCACAAAGAAAAAGAATCCTCTTTAGCGTATATGATCAAGTAATATTGTATGTTTTTATATAATTAAGAGACAGATAAAGAATGTCAACCCCCGCATGGCGCATGCGCATGGCTTCATTTATACTTCATATGTACAGTTGCATTATGACACAATATTAAGAGATCTACTCCATCGATCTGAGGGCAAGTCTTATTCAAGAGAAACAATTGCGTAAAACAGGAATAACACTGTTTTGTAATCGTCGACCAATAACTCTATAATACGAGTGATAACTTCTCCATATATATGATATAACGTTATTGGCCGAAAATAGTAAAATAGTGTTAGCCCCTTGCAACTAAGTTTCTCTGCTTATTTAGGTTGACATAATTTAGGTATATACATACATATAGCTAGCACTGAACCCACCAAATTATATACTTGGAAACAATGAGATTACTAAAGCCATCTGGCTATATATAAATATAGCTCGCACGAAATTATATATAGAAGAGTAGTGTAACCACTACACGTGAGGCTAGAGACCCTGCTGACTGAGTACATCTACAACTAATAAGCATATATATGTATAACACCACATGACCTGCCTGACACCACCAATAGAGTGCTATCAGAAACCAAACCCTAGCTAAATTGGGTTTTATTTACCTCTGTCAATTATTGTGATGAGCTAGCTAGGGTCTCAAATCTCACTTCACATTCTGCCATCTCCTCCTCCTCCTCCTCCTTCGTTAATGTCCCCGGACCGGTTATGAATATCATTCCATGGAAGATAGGGAGCTGAGAAAGCTCCTCCAGTAGTACTAGCATTGTTTATTTGTTGGTAAAACTGGTGATGAGGATGATGATCAACCGACCTTCTCCGAGGAGCCATATTAGGCTGAATCACCGAATTTAGCCCTGTTGGTAAAGAAACAGGCGGAGGCAACACCGTTGCTGTTGTGATTTCGTTGCAGGCATAGCGGATGAGGTCAGCATTGGCAGAGTCAAGCTCCTTCTGGAGCCTCTGGACCTGCCTTTGGAGGAAAGAAATGGCTCCAACACACCCATACACCGGGTCCCTGACACGTGCCTCCGCCTCATAGGCCAGGGAGTTCACGGCGTCCTCTCGCTGATGAGGCAGGAGCTCGTTGAGAAGCTTGGTCACATTGCTGGCCCCAAAGATCTTGTGGACATTGGCGAATTTCTGGGGCTCCTCCGGTGGGAAGTAAGGTGCGAAAATGCAACCCGGCATGCATTTTCTCCTCAAAAACTTGCAGGCAGCACAGGGAGAGTTATAGGAGGAGCTGGAGGATGCCATTTTGATTTTTCACTGCACACCAAAGCTAATCTCTGAACAAATTAACACACTATCACCACATCAAACATTTTTTGTAAGTCAATCCTTAATTTGTCTGTATTATAAAAATAGTATACAATATATTTGCAACTGTTTTTGTGTGTGTGCGTGTGTATTGTTGGAGGCATCAAGATAATTTTGATTAGTGCAGGAAGATCAGAACCACACACACATATACTTAGCTACTGGAGTTTAATCAGACACTAATTTGGAAAAAAAATTACCACCAATCTCGTCACTGTACTCTCTCTCTCTCTCTCTCTATCTCTCTCTCTCTCTCTCTCTCCCACACACATATATGTATGTATAAAACTCATAATTAACTCATGCATATCATGCTAGCTCTTGAATCTAAAAATTCTTCGCTTGATTGTTTTCTGGCTCTCATCATCTTGTCTTTTCCCATCTTTTTATATAAAAAAGAAATTTAAATGAATTCTCACATGTGATGCTCTCATCACAGCTGCTATGCCTCGATCGCTCTCCCCTGCAGGGCCATCTGCATGTTTCCTTAATTTTGGTTTCCAATTTTGTCTTTTCTAATTATATAATTTTTCCACTCTCTCTCTCTCTCTCTCCTCCCACACCATCCCCAGCCACTTTGAAGAATTGATGCATGAGCAAAATTATAGCAATTTTATGTATAAAAAGGTCATCATAGGCATCATATATACATCCTTCTCAAATTAATCAGTTAAACTTGGATCTGACTAGCTAGTGCAACTCGCCCATTATAGGTGTGGTTACACATCTTTTGTTGATATATAAAGGTCCAAGAACATGGAAATTAAAGTCTAAGTTAAGCTAAGCTCAAGGATCTTGTTGTATATATTTTTCAGCCTTGTGCCCCCCCTCAAAAGAAAAAAGAAAGCAGCAGAGAGAATGGAATTAAGGAATAATTAACATAGAAAGGACAAGCTACATCACATGTTTACCTGGGATCTATGTCTCTCTGATGAAAGCTATGAAAAAAGGGAATTTTACCTTTTTCCCTTGTGGAGGAGCTCTTGCGAGAAATTAAGAGCTGTAGCCTGTAGCTGTTCTTTGTTCCTTCCAAGATATATATAGATATTATATCTAGTAGCTAGCCTCTTAGCCAGTTACCTAGCCTTAGCCAATTGAAGGAGTAACACAGATTTGTCTCTGGAAGGGAGATATGATAATCTCTCTCAAAGTGGAAACCCTAATTGGAGGGAGGAGGGAGAGAGAGAAGAGAGAAGTAGCTATATAGCAGCTGAAAGTTCTGTGATAAAAGGTTATGGTAGAGAGTAAGAGGCAAAGAGTAGAGTATTTAGTGGATGGGAGAAAGAATGAAGGCAAAAGACAAAGTAATAAATGGGAGACGTACACTAAAAAAGAATGACTATGACTCTGCATCTAACAATAATATCAGGGGGATGACCATGTCTCCCTTTTTTCATTCCACCCCCAATTTTTTTTTATCTCATGCACATTCAGGTAACATATACATATATAGCTACACATTCAAAATTAAACATTGATTAATTATTTAATAAAGATACACTAAAATAGACCTTCTAGTTGCAACATGCATTTTCTCAAACTAATTAAGGAGGTATATTACCAGATATGGGCTTAGCTAGTTACAGCGTATGTGCTCCCCACCATGTATTTGAGTTTGAATCCCTCCTTCCCGTAGTTTAGATTAAATTAAAGTAGAACATCGTTTGTATAAATAAAAAGGAGATACATTCAATCTGAAATAATGATATATATCCCTAATCCCCACTCCACATTGAATTTCATAAACTAAAACGAAATGTAGTGTATGTGGGCAATTAAATGAAGCCAAAGCAAGGTATTAAATAAAAATTCCATCAATCTCTCTTGATCTTCAAAATATCATCTGCTGATACTTAATTTGGAGATTAATTTTGGCTTAAAAGGGCATACAAGGTCCATTACTGCAACTTGCGTTTTTGTTTGAAAATCCGATGTATCGAGCATCGCAAAGCAAACAGTGCAATAATGGAGCCCGACAAAATGGTTTTTACTCGCACTGCAATTTGTAAATATTGGTTGAATATCACATCTCCCTCAATCCTATCAGAGTCATATCACAGCTGCCTCTCCATGATAATCCGATGCTTCAGTTGAGTTACTGTTATCAACTCACTTGTTGCTAACCAGAAAAAAAGAAAAAAAAGATAAGAAGAAGAAGAAGATCTATGAAACTAGGGTATTTTTTATATTCTCCTATACCTTACTTGCTGCTCCTTTTTGCTGAAAGTGGTTGAATGGGCTTACTTCTTTCAAATTCATGTCGCATGAGATAGAACACACATTTCATCAATTTCTTCTGCATGCTGAATTTTTTATTTATTTGATATGAACAAAAAGAAAAGGAAAACAGAAAAACAAAAAACTTGTCAGCACCCAATGGACTAATTAGCGCCCTGTAATTTGATCTGGTACCATCAACTCCATCACCATGCATGTCATGACTGATGATCATGAGTTAAAGATATACAGCTCTAAGTGAAATAGGCTGGTCCAAGGTTTGCAGGGGTTGCTTTCAGCCAATCGATCCGTCCAGATTTTTGTGACAAATGGACTTGACAACATGATTGCGACCAGCACAACCCAATTTGCTAATCCTTAGGCTATAAGATGTATACATATATCTATAATGCATGTATAAGCAATTAAGATCATTAAGAAATTAATGGTCAAACTTTTACTAAATAAAAACATGTTTGAAATACTTAAGCAACTACCATAAAAAGGAGGTTTGCTATAAAGAAAACCTACATGTATAGCCTCCCCAAGTTGGCGGGGCCTTGAGAGTGAAATGTTTTCTTGGACTATTTTGTTGTTAGTCCCAATCACTCCCAACCATTCTTCCCCAAGATAAGGGTTCCAATTAATTTCCAGTTTCTGGTTATATATAGTATATACATACAAATTTCCATATTCTTTTTTTCTTTCCAATTAATAAGCTCGTTTGCGACTGCTTCTTTATAAAACACTTCCGCTCACAAGTGCTTCTAGTAAAAGCACTTAAAGATGTTGAAATCTTCATAAGAAATCCAAGTGCTTCATGGAAAACACTTGGGAATGCTTTTTTGAAGAAGCACAAAGCACATGCTTCTCTCGAAAGCGCTTTTGTGACCCAGAAGCAATTCTAAAAATTTTTACTAAACGATGTAAGAAACGTTTTTTATTATCAGAAACACTTTTAACCCTTCCAGAAGCACTCACTTATCTTATCTTTTCGTGAGTTTCTTTTCTAAGGGAGACTAACGTTTTTGAAAGCCTGCCGGGATTCTCCACATACAAACCATGTGGCTTATGGGGCCAATGGAGGAGGTGCAATACCTAACTTGAATATTTTTACATTTAGTTATGGAGCCATAATCATTAGAGCATTTCTTATTGGCCGATACTTAATTCGTTTTATCATTCGTTGGATTATTCAATTAGGTTGAAATACTATGCATGCTTTTTAGGATGGGAAAACACTATTTTGGATGAGTGTCCATGAACCTTTTTTCAAGTTTTTGAAGGGAGACGATGTTTTTGTTATATCATCAAATCCATTTGGTCAAATGGGTAAAGTAGCTATCAGCTGAAAAAAAGAAAAGAACACACAACGTTGTAGGGCTTGCTTGCATTCTGTTGACAAAGATAGAAGGATGGGATGGGTGTAATTTGAATGAAACATAATTTTAGTTAAGGTAATCAGGTGCATGAACATGATCCTAATAATGGGCTGCAGTTGATAGAGCTGAAAAATGATGAACTTGAATCCTAAAGATCATCAATCAAATGAGCAATAAAACCTAAAGTAGATATGTTAGGCTTTCTACTCAACCCTTTCTAATCAATCATTTTCCCGACAAATAGTTATGTTTGACTTTCTATCCAACCCTTATATAAATATATATTGATCCTTATACTCAGTTTTACGGGTTCTTTTTTTTTAATTTTAATTTTTTTTTAACAAACTATTGGGAAATGGGAGTTTTATACAAATATTCATTAGGTGCATAAGGTTTTGAATTTCTGCTTTCTTAAGTGGAGATGAAAGAGTTCAACCAACTAAACTATACCCCGTTGACAAACTTAAATCAAAATAAAAGAATAAGGCCAGTTATGCAAGGGCCATACAGGCCCATGGCTGGAGCTTTGCTGAGTCTGGGTGTTGTGGCCTTTAATAAGAACCGCCGGCTGGGCCTTGTGTTGCATGACAAGAAGGCAGGCCGGCAGGGAAGCCATTGAGTGAAATAAAATGTTAATTCACCTTCTCTTTCCATTTTACTACATGAAATTTCTTTATTAAATCTAATTTTACAAATTATAACGAGTCTCTTGGCATTTTCTGCAGTGACAAGAGCTTGGATGTCGTAGCAAGATGTGGGGATTTGTTTGTATATGTAGGCAAGAAAAGCAGGCTGCTTTCCAATTGGCATACAAAGCTCAACCATCACAAAGTCACAACATGCATCATTGTTAAAACTCTTCATGGTTAAACAAGTTCGGAAATATATGCTTTGTGTTATCCGCCACCTCTTGTTGCTGTCCTCGCAAACGGCAAAGCATATTAACTTGTACTCTTTAACTTAACCATACCCTATAACATTATATATTTCTTCTTTCTCTTCTATGTATGCAAAACAGTGTCTAGAACTCTATGTCTAGTTCAAATGCCATAGAAGGAGAGATGGAAGAAACCGAAAATTCCCAAGAGAATGAAGAAAGGGAAACATCGGCTTCTTCTTCATCTCTTCCATTGCAATTATGCTACAGAGATTTGCCTGATTACGTTCAAAACTGCTTAATGTATTGTTGCATCCTCCCTGATGGCATTTCCAAAGGGAAACTTATTCGGTTGCTTGTGGCCCAAGGACTGATACAAGAAAAAGCAGGGCATGTTATGGAGGATGTAGCAGAAGAAAATATATCCGAATTGATCAGCCAGGGAATGCTTCAACTCAAGGAGCAACATTCTAGTGTAAGGACTAGATTGCAGGTCCCCTCTCCTGTTCGAAAATTTTGTGTTCAACAAATGGAGGAAGGAGATGTTGCAACCTTTCGGGCTTTCGTTTGTTCAGACATCACAGAACAGTTAGCCCACTTGAATAATCATCAACCTACTTCTTTATTCCTGCTCGGGAAAAATCTTTCTCAAGACGATGGTAACTGGCTCAAGTTTAATGGTGCAAACTCTTTAAGAGTCCTAGATCTTGAGCGTACCAAAATCAAAAGGTTACCAGATGAAGTGGGAGATCTGATAAGCCTCATCTATCTTGGTTTGAACCACACTGATATAGAAGAGCTTCCAGAGGGACTCGGCAGATTAAGAGCCCTACAAACTTTCGATATCAGATGGTGTGGGCATTTAACAGCCTTGCCAGACCAGATACTCAATCTTGTCAGGTTGAGGCACCTCAAAATGTACAAGAACTGGTTCCAAAATGTTCAGGGGGTGAAGCTACCTCCAGGAATAGGAGGAAGCTTCACAAATCTTCTGACCCTTACAGGTGTACATGCTGGTGGTGGAATTGCAGAAGAATTAGGTAACCTGATACAGCTCAGAAGACTTGGAGTGATGGATGTGGCTGAAGAGAATATCAGTGAGCTACTTGCCTCCATAACTAAGATGCCTGGACTTCTTTCCTTGTCTCTAGAATCAATTCACACCTTCAACGAGGGAAAACTTGTCCTCCTGGATTCATTCTCGCCCCCACCATTTCTTCAAAAGCTTCGCCTGGAAGGCGTCCTAGAAAAGCTACCTTCTTGGTTTGGTTCCTTGGAAAGGCTAACAAACTTGAGATTAGGATTCTCTCACTTGCCTGAGAACCAGTTTTCGGTACTTCAACTGCTACCCAACTTGAAAAATCTAAGCCTTTGGCATGCTTATGCTGGAAAACAAATAGGAAAAGAGTTCTGTAGTGCTGGTGGTTTTGCCAAGCTCGAGGAACTCACCATTGCTTCTCGTGTTCTTGAGGAGTGGACAGAACTTGAAGAGGGAGCACTACCTAGCTTGAAACACCTCTACGTACGCAATTGTCTGAGGCTGAGGATGTTACCTGAAGGCTTGCAGTTCCTCACAACACTGCAGCGTTTGGATTTGCTGCCTTTGTTGCATGATCATGCAGAGCGTCTGAAACCTGATGGTGGAGAGGAAAACTACAAAATTAGCCACATTCCAATGATTAGATTGATGACCACGTCTATGGTGGAAGAAGTCGTTAAAGCTCAGGGAGAGGGATCCCC